GCTTCAAATATAAGATGTATATTGATCATATTTCTAAAAGTTGCATTTTATTAATCATGTTGTATAGCAATGGTGTCTAATTTATATTACTAAATCTTTTGAGGTTTGTAGCAATGACATTGAGATTCTTTCAACTATTATGAAAGTTAATCTACTTATGAATAGTCTACATTATAGAAGTATAGAAGGCAAATGAAAGGTTGTTTAAAAAGAGTGGCAAGAACAGAGGGTGGAAGGGAGACAAATGCAATGCAATGCGGTGATTAGAGCATGTTAGGATTTACATGGTGCTAAACATTGAGTAGTGCTAACTTAGCTATGACTACATTATATTGTCTCAACTTAGTTAAAATATAATTAATATAGATTAAGAGATTCAAGCAGACTTTCATAAGATCTATAAGAAAATTTTATTTTTATTTTTATTTTTGCTAGGATCAAAGAATTTTTTTGTAAGATATGACATTCTATACAAAGTTTGTTACAAGGAGGAGAGAGGAGGGAGGGGAGGGAGAAGAAGACATAAGACAAACACAACTAAGATTCTTGTGCAATATGAAAATTATAAATAGCGGCAATGTATTGATAGATTTAAATGATAAGCAAGAAGTTTTAGTCACTTATGTTAATAGATATCTATTAATATAGATATCAACATCCAATCCAACATACTTTAGGTGAGTCTCTCCTTCTAAGAGTTAGAAGAAATAATTTTGGTTTGTAACTTTGTACAAAAACTGAAGTACTGGCCATAAATGAAGAAGACAATAGACAAAATAGTATTTAATTATATTAAGATATTTCTATTGTATATTTTTTTAGAAAAAAGCCAAATAATAAGAAGTTACAAATACAAAAAAAAATTATGCTAAGTATTTATTCTATCTTTATATAAATATTCAATTAGATTTGGCACCTTCTAATCTTAAGATTCAATATTTTATTCTAATACAATTTAAGTCCTTAATATTAAGATCTTCTTAAATTCTTTTAAAATTTTAACTTGAAATACACTAAAGAGTATTCAAATAGAGTTATTTTTGTTGCACTATAGATTGCTACCAAGCTTGGTAGAATTTATAATGCCAATTTTTAAAAAATAAAAATATTAGAATTAAGATTTTATATCAAAATGGAATTTAAAGTCATCTCAAAGTTGGTAGTAAAGGTATTCAATTCTACAATCAATTGGCAAAAATTAATCTATGTTGACTATCTCCATTTATATATTTGATGTTGCTTCTTGTCTTGACACTTACTATCATATCAAAAATTCTAAAGTCCTAAAAAAGGCTAAAAAAAGACCATAAATATCCACACCAAAAATTTATTAATGTTGCTCTTTTAAATTATACCAATATCAATGTGATTACAAAGTTCAAAAAATACTTGCTAAATATGCTATTACTTCTATAATATAATATCATTATCAAATTTTTTATTTACTATAAATATAAAGGATTTAAATCTCTATATAATATTATATATATATATATATATATATATATATATATATATATATATATATATATATATATATGTATTATAAGTAAAAAAGTCATGATTAATGATTAAGATATTTATTCTCTTGAATCAAGAGTAATTGTGGCTTATTAGGAAGACAATCTAAATGGAGCATTAGTTGTATAAAATATTATATATAGTTTCAAAATATTGTCAAAATTAAAAGCTTTTGATATAGTAAGATACAATAAAAAAAAGAATCTTATTAATACAAGTTATTAAAATTAGAAATTGAAGAGTCTCACGTTGGTTTTTTTTTACATAAATTTTAATGAAATTAAATACTTTATCTTATAATTTGAAGGTTATAAAAAATATTTTTAAAATTTTAAAATTAAAAATATATATTTAAAAAATCTTCTAAAAGTCAAAAAAGATGTCAATCATAGAAAGACTTAGTTGACAAACTTTCTTTCAAAATTTTATTTGTCATTGGTAGATATTGGTATATGGTTGTAAGAACAAGGAAAAAATTGTCATTTTATATCATATTATTATCCCAAGATGACGAGAATTCTTAGAATTATGTCTACTTTTATTTTTTTCTAATTAATATTTTTTTAAAAAAAGAGACTTTTAAACTATTATTAGGACAAAAATAAGATGGTTTAAGGTTTTTGGAAAGGCATGACAGGTTTTATTTAAATTATCTATTTCTCTAAAAAAATCAAGTCGATGAATATTGAATATATAGTCATATTGTGCTATGTAACTACATTTTAATTGAATTTATGATTTAATATCAAAAATATAAATCTAAACCTTCTAAGCTTAAAATGAATATTTATTATTTAGAAAATTCAAGAATTTTTAAAAAATAAAAGAAATTAAGATTAAATATATTAATAAAAGCTTTTTTCTTTACAATATTAAAAATTATTTTGTTTTTATAGTTTTTTTTTGTAAAGAACAAGCACAAAATGGCACATTAAACTACAAGGCCAATTAAAAGAGATCCACTCCACTCTTTATGCTAACCTTTAAAATTTTCTAAAAAAAATTCAAATTTTTCTCAATCAAGTTGAAGAATTGCAACAAAAAGATAATTTAATATATGCTCGGATTTGATAGAAACAAATAAGAAACAACATTGATAAATCTATATATATATATATATATATATATATATAACTATTTATTCTAAATCTATCACCATGGAACTGTAAATTTTTCAAAGTGACCTATAAGATCTAAAAAAAACTTTTGTTTTGATTTTTGTTCTAATTTTTACAATTAAAACTTCAAGACCATGTAGAATCTAAGAAATTTACAACTACCAAGCTTGATAATATCATATGCAAGGTCATAGAGAGTATAAATAAAAACTTATCTAAATCATTTAGTAAATATGAAATTAAAGAGATTGTAAAGGACATGATAAAAAATAAAACAAATGGATCAGACAAAGAAGATATTTAATATTTAAAAATATTTTGGTAAGTTATTTTTAATGATTATATTTCTATAATTAATTAGGCTTTGACTACAAGTTGGTTCTCATATTATATTATAAAAGAACATTTTGTTTTTATGCATGAAAAAAATGACAAAATAAAATTATGTAATGAAAGGTTTATTATCCTACTAAATACATCTTATAAAATTTATGATAAATTATTACAAAGAAGGATCTTAGTGATTCTCAAGGAAGTTATTTATCTTAACCAAATTCCTTTTTTTTTCTTTGAGATTTATCTTAAATAAAGTATTTATTACCAAAAAGATTATATATATGGTCAAGACTTTAAAATAATATTTTTTTAATTATAAAAATAAAATTTTCTAAATCATATAATAAATTCTTTTGGGCTTTTAAATGTAGAGTATTAAAATTACTTGACTTTGACAATTTCTTTTTTTATATGATTAAAATTAGTTTCTATGATGCAAGCACAATGGTAGATATTAACAAAGATTTTACAAAATAATTTCTAATAAAAATATATAAGAGATAAGGTTGTTTTTTGGTACCTTACCTCTTCATCTTGGTTCAAAATTTTTTTATCAAAATATATACTAAGTAAAGTGAAAGATTTTGAAAGAACATATATTAGATTGATAAATATTTAAAATAATTCTTGTAAAAATATTTTAAAAATAAAGAAAATAAATATTATATATAAATTCTTTAAATTAAATAAATAGCTAAAAAATATATATATTTCATAAAATATTTTATGAACGATAGTAAGAATAAAATCATGTAAAAGACCTAATTTGATTATGGCAATTTTATGGAGTTGAATATAAAGGCTTTATAGGCTTAAGATCATCATTTGTTTTATTGAATATAATTTTAAAAGATGAATTATAAAATAATATTTAGACATAGGTGTGTTCAAATTTGTCTTGAAAATATTATTTTTTTCTTAAATTTTTTTAATAAAATAAATAATATAAAATATTTTTATATTTTTATAATAAATTTAAAATTTAAAATAATTATATACTTTCAGATCTAAAAGTCTACATTTATTCATTGGTGCAAGTAGAAGAAACTCTAGAAATTATTTTTTTTGATGTTAATTTGATTTTATTTGAACATGTGTAATCAAAAACTATAAAGGATTAATTTCAATTTTCTAATAATAATAATGACATGATTGATAGGTTCAAATTTTAAAATAATTATATAATTTCAAAATATAATACAATATAATAAGTATTATTTTTATTTTATTTTTATTTTAGTTTTTATATATATATATATATATATATATATATATATATATATATGTATATAAATTCTCTTGCAATTCTTTTAATATCTTAACATCAAATTTGTAATAGGTTTGATCTTATGTAGATAAAACAAGCCTTTTTTTGTAATTCTAATATAAAGATATTATGTGTAAATAGATATCCATCTACCAAGAGATTTGAGATTATATTCAAATCCTCATCTCTATCTACCTAGACTCTCAATCTAATTACAAGTGGCTAGTCCATGGGTAGACATAGATAGTACCTTGTAGTTAGATTTTACTTTTGTTATCAAGTTTTAGTCCATACCAATATTTAAACAAATATGTTGGTAGCTAACTTCACAGTATATGTGTGAATTAAAATAGGAAGTCTTAGGTTTGAATCCCTCAATCAACATAATTATATAGTTTCTATCAAATATGTTAATTATCCAACTTTTATAACACATCCTGAAACTTAACATTATAAATTCTAGAACAATATGCACAAAAACACACAAAATAATAATAACAATAATAATGGTGTAAAGGAGATTGAAACTAACACCTCATGACTGTAGTGAAGAACCTTAACCAGCTAAGCATGTGTGGTTGCTTAGACACAACTACATTGTTTATATTATACTTATATTTTTAGGTGGAAGTTCATGCATGGGAACCCTTTATGCTTGTGTGGGTGAGTAACTGTAGGTGGATGGACATCCACAAAGATACTTTCAAGAGTAAAGGTACCTTGTCAAAGTGGATGTCATGTTAGTATTGTTCAAGGAATTTTGAGGCAATTTTTTTGGTTTCTATTTTTATTCACAACATTAATAAATAAAAATATAAACATGTAATGTTGTAGACAATGCTAGATGATCAAAATAGCATTCACTTTGCTGCATGGTGGTGATGAGTGTGTCCTCTCATTTTACCTGCCAGGAGGTTATTAAACACTCTTAAGTTAGATTGAACAATATCTGTAAAAGAAGCATGAAATAACTAAGCAGGTCGCTTGCACTTCATGCCATCAAACCAATACCTTCAAGTTAACATCGTCTTGGTACTTTCCAATCTGTCATTCAAGTATGTTCCTAAATATTCACACACTGTAGGTGAAAGACTTGATGAGCGCACCACAAACCACGACTTAAAGATGGGATTGCACCTCCTGCTCGTATCTTATGCTTTGGTAGCGATGTTGCTTCCAAGTTCATTTCTTTGTCTTGTCCTTTCTCCTCTTTCTTGCTTTGCTTCCCTGACGCTTATTCCTCAACTTCTCCTCCGAGATGAGATCTGATTTAGCTTCAGCCTCCTGCTCTCCTGGAGCGCCGTTGGAAAAAGTCTCGGACGAGGCCTTATCTTGCGCCTGCTGGAATTTCTCGGCCTCACTGGCGGTTGCCTTACCCTCTGGAGCAACAGTCTCAGTGGCCAGGGAATTATTTACAGGTGCCTCAGCCTCGTCTTCCACCATTTGGAGCGCTAGTGGATCCTCCACCTCCTCTGCACCAGCATCTTTCAATATTGGGGCCTCGTTACCTTGAACATCTGCAATCCCCTCCACAGTAACAGCCCCATCTACGCTCAATTTAGAATTCCCTTCTGCCATCCTACAATAATCGAATCAAGTCCAACAGACGTGTGTGCTTGGATATCTCCTGCGTTAAATTTTAGCATGTCCACATAATTGTGCTCATTTCCTAACGCTCATACAGAAAAAGAACCAGAGACACTTTCATACAACTTTAATTCACCTTCTATAGCGACAGTATCGTCAGACTGCTGAATTACGTGTTTCAACAACAATCCATTTCCTGACTGTGCATGGGTTGCTTCAGATCGCGAAGATTGCAAAGATCTGGGTAGAGCGTCATCTGCTTGCTTGATAAGTGCTTCGTTTCCATCGACGCGCTCCCCTTCTTTGCTTGGTGCCGTACACCGGCCACCAGGATGACCTTTATCGAGTTTCTCCTCAACTGTCACATTGTCAGATACATGCTCCGGTTCTTCAGGAGCCGTCGATATTTCAGAAACAAATTGAGCTCTGGCGAGCTTTCCTTCTGGTCCCTTGGACTCCTCAAATCGATCTTCTCGTTTATCGGGGTGTTTAACCTCACTTTGGGCTTGTATAGGTACTTCCGTGGCTTCCTTGGCTCCATCTATCCCCTCTGAAAAATCTAGTTGTCTTCTTCCACGGTCATCAAAATGGAAGACGTTGTATTCTGCTACTTCACCTTCAGGTTCCTTCTGTTCCTCTGCTTCTGAATATGAATTATCTTCAGAGCGCCAAAAATTTTCAATATTTTCAACTGGCTCTTCCTCATCTTTTCTGTGTACTACCTCAAAAGCATTATGTTCATCAACTGTTTCCGACCCAATGTCGTTTTGCGCTGAGGTAGAAAGTACCTTCTCTTGATTGTGAATAGACTTGAAGGAACGATACCATTTTATGATACTCGACAAAGAGTAAGGGTGGAAGACGGCGTAATAAGCAGCGACCCCACTGAGTACGGGAACCAAAAAGACTGCACCAACCAACATGGAAACTACAACCACAGGAGTCAAAAATGGGAGTAGTATCAACACCAAGAGAGATGTTAACCCGAGTCTCCGTGTTTGTAACACAAGATTTGCACCCTTCTTGGCCTGTGCGTAAAGATACGCGCCGCCTTCATGACTACCATTCCGCATATCATTGACATTAGAATGTATCGAGGCCATACTTCTTCGTTATCTCGGTAAACGGTTTTCTTCAGACACTTTTGGCCAGCAGATTTTTTTCACATCTTAGAAATCGGCTCCTCTGTGAAACTAAAAATTGATGCTTTAGCACTTAAACAATAGATGCCGGGTGATCTTTTAGTTGGTAAGACCAGCAACACATCTCCACCCCCATAATAGCGTGGAATGTCCTCAATTCTTATGGCATGCCAGTGCCAGGTTATTTCTTCACAAAATACAAGAAGCATTAGATTAGAAGATGAAAGAAATATAAAAAAAAACATCAAGCCTAGGAGACACTGTAATCTACCAAAGGTCAGCTGTAACGAGTTTTCGTGAAGTAAAAGGCTTCCATTCTCTCAGTGCATTCAAATTTCAAATCCCCAGTCCATCCTCGATGCGAGCAAATATTCGAAGAATTACACACAGAAATGATATTAATAATAAATAACATAACACAATGATTTTCCCACATTTACACTGTCAATCCTCGAGAATAAATACATTCCTCAATGAACTCGGAGAGAAAGAGAGGAACGACCACAAAAGAGAAGGGAGGGGAAGGGAACTGCAGCACACAAGGTCGGAGCTCTAATCAAGAGCTCGAGTACGATTAACTAAACCACATTCATTCATCCCAAGGCCACAATAGTCATTCCAGAAAAGCCAATAAACGATCCGACGAAAGCTTCCTCAACTCCCCTCAAATGTTTCAAACGCTTGTTTCAGTACACAGTTAAAAAAACCATTTGACACGACAACAAGCCAGAAAGCCCAAGGACATGACATAAAAAATCAATCTCGCAATAAGGACGGTAAGAATTTCCACAATCCTGACACATTTTGAGCTTCTCAACTGATTACCTGCTGATGAAACATCTCCTTTCAACACACACACACAACTGTTGAGAAACGTGATTATGTGAAGCCAGTCCTGAAAACCAACCTCTACTCCCGAAACTGACTAGAAACTCAAACGCTACACACCAAAGCCAAATCCAAGCTCCCTTCCGTCGGCCAACTGCACTCCTTCACTCCAATGCACACCACATAAACCACAACAACATTAAAACATGCAGCATGCAGCAGCAACAACAACAAGGCTCGTACCTGCAACTATATTTCCGTTTCCAAAAAACGCAGGCTCTTCGTCCTCCACTCCAACTCCCCTCCGCTATCCAGAGCCGCCCACTGCGTCCGAATAGCAGCAATGGCACTTGATCCCGAGCAAAACACAGCCTTCATCGCCGAAGAAGTCTCGTCAAGTAGACGAGATTTTCTGTAACAGACGTGGTCTCCTCCGCGCAATCACGCACACCGTCCCCCCCCCCCCCCCCCCCGCCAAGTTCCCTTTGCCTACGTTGCGGTAGCCGCCATCCAATCCACTTCACAGTTCATGACAACCCCTCCTCTGCCAGGTGGATGGGTTGGTTTCAGGTCTCCCCCTCAGTGGTCCCACGTCGTCGTCCCCCATGCCCGTCATGGTAGCTCATGGGAGTCCATCACCGATCCTGCTCTACACTGTACGCATGCGGTACATACCCTAGTCAACTTTTGTACAGAGCGTCATGCGGGTAATATTGTTTCTAAAAAGGAAATAGAACTTTTTCCTTTATTAATAAAGTCAGTGCGTTGGGTGTGACGGCCGAGATGCGTGCTTGCGGGATCGTGTGGTTCTAAATTAAGCATGCTTTGTGGATGTGCTGAACTGTAGAGCGTGAGGCGGATGCGGGACCACAGAGCATTGTATTCATCCGTTCGATCATTCATCCAAAAAATTATATACCCATAACCTAAGATTAATAATACAGTTGTATAGATAGATGGATCAAAAAGCTACTAGATGAACCCATGTTGTTGTTATGGAAAGTGTGACTCAAATGAAGCTATTTTTGAAAGATATGTTTGTGAGCCAAAGAATACTTTTTAAGTACAAATACAATACAATAAAAAGAAAAAGAAATAAAATATACAATGGAGCTTTTAGCTACGAAGTAGAATAGGTAAACTCATGCTGTTGTCATGGATAATATGAAAAAAAAACTAGTTAATTTTATTCAAAGAACTACTTGTGAAAATATTAAAAAAACATTAAAATACATTAAAAAAATCGTAAAAATATATGAAGACATTCAAAGATGTAATAAAGTCAATAAATAAATAAATAAATAAATACTAATATTTATCTAATTAATTTTTTTTTAAAAAATTCAGTATAGAATTTAAATTGTTATTTTTAGGAAGAAAGACACATTATAGATGAAACGTGTTGTTAATCATTACTATTAATCCATGCTATTAATCCATGCTTATTATTTTATTAATAATACATCATGATTTATCTAATGGAAACCTGTGCAATTGGCCACAATAAAAATTAATAGTTCAATTTGTATTTTTTAAGTCAAAAATTGACTACTCCTAAAGAAATATTGGCCAAGAAGAAGATAAAATAAAATGAAATAAAAAAATACATAACAATAGAACTATTCATATTAATTATATTGTACATTAAATGATGGAACTTATAGCTTATTTTTTCTTTATGCTCTATTTCTTAAATTGAGTGATTATCTAATCTTTTGAATTATATGTTAAGTTATATTTTGAATTGTATCCACTCCCAAATAGCAATCTTAGCCACTTCTTTTTAGACCACTACTACATTCACGGTCTTATTTTCCACCTCATCTTTGCTCTCTTTGACTTCCTTACCCTCAACCGTTGTCTTTAAGGCCCTCAAAACTTCCATGCTCAACTTTAGGTCTACAACTATAAGATTGCTCTTCATTACAACTACCACCTCTTTATCTTCTACCTTCACCACTTCTTCTTTGACCACACTCATCTTTGCCTCTACATTTTCCCACTTCACCTCTTATACTGTTGATTCTTCTTGCTTTATTGACAACAAAAGTTATTTTCCTGAATTGATAGGTGATGTTGATGCAATCGGCTCTTTTTCAAAAATTGGCTTCGAAAAATTCATTAATGCATTGCTGCTTGTGGTGGCTCTCCAATTGTGGTGTCCAACAGAGGCGCCTCTTTGTATCTGTCTACAGCTGCTTATAAATGCCCTTCAATGCAATCCCCTTCTTCAATTATCCCCATCTTTATGACCATTATGTAGTCCTCCATTAAATTGATTGCTAGTACTAGCCTTAATGTAGTGCCTATCATTTGAATCATTTGAATCATTTGAAATATATGTATATATATATATATATATATAAACTAACTGCTTGCTTGTGATCAAGCTGAAATGAACATACTTGAAAGTCATTGATTATGTGATTTTTACCTCAGTCTTAGATTGATACCATTGTAAGATCTAAATAGTGGAAAATTCATAAGAGTGTATTTGCTTCTATGTGCTCATCTTTCTTCTCTAATACATAATCAATTTGTATATGTAAATACATTTAATAATTATTAATAATCTAATAATTGTAATAACTCTAACTTTTGTAGATGTTCTATAATATTCGGCTTATAAGCAATAATTAACAATGCAAAAATTAGAAAGTATTATAATAAAAAAATGCCAACATTTCGGAACTAATTTTGAATTCTACAAAATTGAAAAACATATGTCAATTTTTGTATAAAATTTTATTCAATTGCAAAAATATAAACTTAAAAATGGTTGTTAGAAGAAGAAATTGGAAGTAGATCTTATTGATGTAAGCAAACATCTTCACGCCCTTGCAATTCCAAATGCGGTATCAATGGACAAGAACTCGATGAAAATAAATGAACAAGTGAGACTTTCTCAAAGAAATATGACAAAATAGAAATAAAAAATTATATATATTAAATAAAAATTGGAATAGCTATTTCAAAAAGCCATATTAACTTTGTACAACAAATATCTTAACTTGTAAGGCAAGTTTTTTATATAGACACCACATAATTATCTTGTTCCAGAAGCTACGAACATGTGCAGCACATGATTAAGTTATTGACAAAGTTCTAATCTATCAATGAATTATAAACATATATAAAGTCAAAGCAACATTTATAAAGCTTTTAAAAAGCTTTTCTAAAAGTTATTGTAAAATTTATCTATTTTTATCTACTTCAACTTATACTTATTATTTAGGTAATAGTTATAATAAATATATATCTATGACATTATCCCCTCTTCTAGAGATAAGTTCTATAAGGAGTGGTAATTACATGTTGAAGAAGTCTAAGATGCGGTAAATTGTATTTGCTATATGCTTTGATCTTTGTCCACTTTGAAAGTAGTTGATGGGTCTTCTCAACCATCAATAATGTCCCATTCTAAGGTGGAAAGACCACCTTATTATTTGATCATTGTTGAGACCTATGTAACTTTCTTCAAATAAAAAATTTGTAATACCATTGTGAGTCATTCCTATTTCTAATAAAATCACCAAATATCAAGACTTTCTTCTCAAGTTGTTATATCAAACGTATCATATCTCGCCATTTATTCAAGGAAAAATATGTCATTCTTGAAGCTCTTCATCCCTATTACATTGTCTTGAAGGTTGTGATAATTGCAATATCTCATTTGGTAAGTCAACAAATGATGGTTCTTGAGTTGAATTTGCTAACTGTTAATTCTCCATCTCTTTACCGCCATAATTATACAAAAATTAAAAACAAAGATAGAAGGTCGAATGCAATCTTTCTTAAATTATATTTCTTTTATAGCAAAGGTTTGTCATCTTTTATCTTAATTTTGATAGATGTTGTTGATGAAAAGCTTTGATTTTTTTATTGCATTTATAAGATTTTTTGTTAGTTCTCATTTATATTTGCTAATATTATATTTATACCAATGAATAAAATATTTTAACCTAAGTTGGTAATGACTCAAGTCTAAGACTTCTCCTATTTCAAATTTTTGAATATTACCTATTTCTAAAATTGAATATTTCAAAAAGTATTTGTCTTTTTTTTGAAATATTTACTATCTCAAATGGCTCCAAAAGAGATACGTGAAATATAGGATGGATTTTCATAGATTTTGATAGATGTAATTGATAAGTAATTGGATTGACTTGTCTACAAATAAAAATAGTCTAATTCTATAGTGATTTGGTTGTAAAAGGTGAGGTTGTATTTTATAAGTATCTAGAAATCTTAATATGTTTCACTCTCATAAGAAGAATGTAATTTGAATTTTAATTCAAAGTGCTTAAATTCAATAAAAAGTGCTCACAAACACTCTTCTTAGTAATCTCAACTATACATAAATTCCAATTTTCTTATTATTACTTTCATAATTAGGAAATTTTGAATTTTCTTTGCAAGTCTTAATGCTAATTAGTAAGCTTTAGCAAGCTGTAGCTCTTAATTTAATAATTTACTTAGAAAAAAAATTTGCAAAAAAATGCCATTATAAGTCTTCTATGTGCTCACAAGAATTCATTCCAATCCAACTTATAGATTGTAAGAAAATACCCAAAAATCATACTAATGTTACTTAGCTATCAACTTAAAAGTTGATGTAAATATTTTAATAGTGGTTTCTTCTTTTTCAACTATTTTCAACTCTAAATTGGTATATAGCTTAATCTTCAAGTCGTCTAACATCTTACCAAATTTCACTTTGATCCAATTAATAGATCTTTAGATATCATAGAAATTTTATCCAATTTCAAATTACCAACTTTCGATACCTTCTCGTATCAAATTTAGATATCTATCAATTCCACTATTAGATTATCACAAAATTTTACATATACTTAGCAAACTCAATTAACCAAGCACTATCAAATTTTGAACTATAGATGTCACACTAATTTTATGAATTAGCCAAGAATGCTTATCCTAATTGTATTGCATAAATTCCAAGAGACCAATATAAACCTTAACTTTGAATAATAATTGCAAAGTCAAACCAAATCCTATAAAAAAAGACTTATGTTTCTAAAATATGTTCTAACTTAGCTCTTTAATCTTAATTGTTAAACTTCAAATGCTCTTTATTTTGCCCTTGGTGATCGTTTAAGTAGCTAGAGGTCTGATTTTGAATCTGTCTCACAAATGGTCGACCCCTAAGTATCAATCTAATCTATCACAAGGATTTTATTGCCCAATCCTACCTTTAATTTTATCCTAGTATCAACTATGTTAATTATTTACTACTTTTAATCTAATTTTATTAATTTAAGGTCTTTCTGAGGTAAAAAAAGAGTCTCTGCATCTTAGAAGATAAAGTTATTAATCAACCTTTCACTTGTTAACTATTAAGACAAGAAAATAAACTAAGAAGTTTTTATAAAAGCCATGTTTAAATATCTTGAATTATTATTGAACCAAGATAATTAGATATTAATTATAAATTTA